AAAAATACTTTGCTAGGATGCCCAAAAACCTCTGATCTCTGCCAAAATAAATTCTGAAGTTGAAATTCAAAACACAATTTGTTTACCATGAGTACAGAATGTGCTTATAAGGCAGAGATGTTTATTTTTAATACCTTTGGCATTTAATCAAGTCCCAGCAAGGTAAATAAATAAATAAATATATCAAATAAAGATATTAAAAACTCACTTTAATCACAAAAACACAAGTTGCTGCATATTTGTAGAAAACAAGTAGATGATTCAAACTTGGAAAATCACGACTGTACCTAATTCCTATATATCCCACTATGAAGCTCATAATGCCTTGCACTTGTATAGAGGTTTTAAAATATTTCTGCCTTTTGAAGCTAATGAAAAGAGCTTTCACAAGTTCTTACCGAGTAATGAGACACAGTCCTCATCTCATCAGGAAATGCAAAGTACGACATGTTTTTTTCTTTTATTTAATCTCATATGAGCTCATGACATGCTAACACTAGGCACAGGAGCAAAAAGTCAGAGTCCAAGTCATCAACATGCTCCCTGCTGCTCATTATCTAGCCCCAGAGATAATTCCTAAAAGAGAACTTGAACTCATGAGATTCAACTGGGAAAAGAGTAACAAAAGAAGTCCATCATGCACCATATTGGGGTCCAGGGTATTTGAGGAGGAACTTAAAGGATAAGAAAGAGAAGTTCAATCCACAGCCTCACCACTCCATGGAACCATCTACACTGGTGTTTGGATAGCTCCAAATAGTAGCAGCTGGATGCAAATTTTCCCTGTTTTAGTAGCTTAGAGATTCTCTCAGCTGAAAATACCAGGCAACTCCCTCTCTTTAGAGAGAACCCAGTGGGAAGGTGTGAGTGGATCAATAAAAATCTAATGTCATGACAGGGTGTGGCTGAAGTACTGCTGTCCCTGCTGGTGAGTGAACAGGAGGAACCACTATGGTTCACAGAGAACACCACACTGAGACTCACCCAGTGGGAAGGTGTGAGTGGATCAATAAAAATCTAATGTCATGACAGGGTGTGGCTGAAGTTCTGCTGTCCCTGCTGGTGAGTGAACAGGAGGAACCACTATGGTTCACAGAGAACACCACACTGAGACTCATAACAGAGTGGCTGCAAACAGCTGACATGCGGATGCATTTGTTTGGCTCCCCAGCTATGACCAGAACACTTAAAAATTGGCTGATATGGCATAAAAATCAGGATTTCCAGCTTCTCTTGAAAAACAAGACAATTTGGTAATATGACCGATGTAACCATGGGGTAGGGTCGAGTAGTGGTGCTTCTTTAAGTGGGGCTTGCTTTACATAGGTGACACCTACTCTCCAGAGGACGGCCTCCCCCCCATCAAATCGTATCCTGGCCTCCACAGACCTTGGAGTTTGCAACCACTGGTAAAACTTTAGCCCCCAGCAAAACAGTAAAAGAAGTGGCTTTCAGCTCCAGCAACTGTCCACTTCCTACACCTCTCCATCTGCTGTCCCACTGGGCTGGCCAAATATTCCCCACTAGGATGGCCCACCCACATTGGCCCCTAGATAATGTCCTGGACTGTAGATTGTTCCATAACCTCTCTGCCTCCAACACAACTTTTCAGGGCTTTACCCCATTCCTTTCTATTTTTGTTTTGCTGTTCTCGTATTCTGCTATTTTGGACAGGAGACTACTATCAATCTGATAAACTAATCAATGGAAATGAACTAGATTACCTTCCCAGGACACATATTTGAAATGGATTTCAGACTTTCTAAACACATGCCATGACTTCACCCAAAAGAACTGACCTAACTTGTAGTCAGCTGTTCATCAGATTTCTAAGTTCTTAAGTATAGTCCTTTTTATTTTTATGTGTAATATCTATAATTTACTCACAAGTAACACGCAGGTAAGGAAAGGAGAACATACCTTGAACATTTTCAGAGGTAATGGCCAATTTGGGTCTACTCATACCTTTCTGTATATTTAATTTACAGGAACTCTATGAATCACAATTTCTAGGTGCAAAGTATGTAGCACAGCTACAGACATAGATTTCAGCCCATCAGATGGTCCAAACTGGGCACAGCCCAAAAGCAGAACTTCCTTTGCAGATGACAATAAAGCCAGATTCTACAAAGGAAACCTTAGATATGAATTACTGTTAATTATAGTCAGTGGAGATTTTTGTGCCCTCCTAAACAGTGTACACTAAATTAGGAAGATGTGCAGAGATTTTTTTTTTCCCTTCTTCAAGTCTCCTAAGGAAAACGCTACAAATAACTATTGCCTGGTAATGTTCTTGATTTTCCCAAGATGGACAAGTGACCCACTGTGAGTTATCAGAAGGAAGATAAGAGATGAGTCACAACCGAATGAGTCTTGGTAGGTTCTTGGGTACAGGTGGAGAGCCTTCCTAACAGGCTACCAAACTTCCTAAAAGACCACACTCACACATGTGTGTGCGTGTGCACCCACACACACACAAGTCCACAGTACAGGTGATCTCCCTACAGTCCAGCCAAGGGCCTACTGATGAATTATATTCTCCATGCTAATTCTCGGTCACACCCGCTAAAGAAATGTCCCTTCCCTTCTTGTTCTAAGCAACTGAGGGATACAACTGGGCAGGCCCAGACAGACGTGGAACACAAAATGAGCCTCATTTGGCTTGACAGAGTCTTATATAACCATTAAGTAGCACAACTGCGGTTTCTGATTATTTTAGATGTTGATGCTCTGTTCTAAGGCAACTTCACATATCTAATAAACAGACTTAATTTTTCATGCCAGGCAAGAAATGATTCATTTAATTTTAGCCAAATTACTGTGAATCCGGTAGACCTCTCAAAGGCACATCTCCTATTTCAGGACAGCCAGCTGTTTCAACTTTTCCACCAGTGAGTTGTGGCCCCAGCAATTATGTCTGATGCACAGATAGTCTCCTGGCGGCCCACAACATGCCCATCTATGCTGATGGCAGGGAGCCCATCAACAGGTAAAACACGCCTGTCCTCCAATAGACCAACTCTGGAAACTATTCTCTTCCTTAGACAGTGCCTGCTCTACAACCCTGTGACCAACCATCTTCTTCAACAGGAACGGGCCCCAATTGAACTTGGACTTTCCTAGGTCTCCAATAATGGCAACCTAGACTCCTTTTTAGTCTTCCTAGCACGACAAATGAGTTTAACAGAGGGAAAGTTAATTTTAATTCAGTAATGTTCTTTAAGTTCTTGACATAAACACATTGATTTTTTTTTTTTGAAATATTGAAACACAGAAAATAATTACAGCAATTCTAAAGTACTTAGGACTATCATGTTGCTAAAGTTCAAGTGGCATTAATTTTAATTCAGTAATGTTCTTTAAGTTCTTGACATAAACACATTGATTTTTTTTTTTTTTTGAAATATTGAAACACAGAAAATAATTACAGCAATTCTAAAGTACTTAGGACTATCATGTTGCTAAAGTTCAAGTGGCCAGATGCCCAACTAGGTAGCTTCACCCAAACCCATGCTCAACGTAAACAGTTCTGTGTCGGGGTTGGGTTCTTAAATGTGGGTAGACTGACTTCTTAAACCTTAAAACTAGAACAGGAAATTTATTTATGGATAAAGTATTTTCTTGGATAGTGGCAAAGATGACATAATCTTGGACTATGTAAAAAGAAAAAGCTTTGGTTGAGGATGGCTTTCAAAGGTTCTGTTTGTTTGTCTGTAGTCACTCTTTTCAGTAAACAGCACTGGGTCAAGGGCTGCTTCTGCTCTTTACACGTAGGTTCCCACGGGCCTTTGCTACATGCCCTTCTGGCTGGTCATGCGGGATATAGATTTTTAAATTAGTGCTGTGCTGGTTATCATTTAGACTTAGCTTCACTTTCACAGTCATAAAAAAACCCAACAAACCAGAAGACTAGTTCATCCAGGACTATTTGAAAAGAGCCAAGTGTGGAAACTATGAAGTCTTGCAGTAGAACTTTTCGTTTTTTTCTTTTTCTGATGGACTGCCAATCTTCTCAAAATAGAGTTCTTGCTTTTTGTGCCTCGGAAAGAAAAGTACACCGCACCAAAGCCCAAGGGATGCGGCTAAGGTTCTGCGGCGGGAGGAGTGTATCTGGGCTGGGGAGTAGGGGTAGCGAAATAGTCACAAGCGACGCAGAGAAAGAGGCAGCCACTTCCACATGTTCCCCAAGGGCCAAAGGAAAAAGAACCAGAAAAACTTGAAACTCCTGAGGACGTCTTCCTCGCTGTACACCCGCGAAGTCCCAGTCACCTCGCACTTGGGACGGGGTGGGGCCCTCCACAGGAGGTGTTTACTCGGCCTCTCCGGCGCAAAGACCCCCCTGGGCCGGCGCCCCCACCCCCCCAGGTCCAGGCCGGCTGGCTCCAGACCGCGCGGGTCACTTTCGCTCTCTGCAGCCCGCCCCCCTCCAGGTGCTCGCCCTACCTGGCGCCCCCACCTGCCTTTGTGCGGCCAGCGTGCCGGTGCCAGGCGCGACAGCTGCTGGCGCTGCCCGGCCGCCGAACCGCGGCGGGGAGGGGAGGGAGGCAGCCCGCGAGGGTGCCCGCCGCCGGGGAGGGGACGCAGGGGAGGGAAGGGGGCGCGGCGAGCTGGCCAACTTCGCCTGGGCCGGCTGGGACCCGAGGGTACAGGCGGCTGCTCCCCGCTTCCCAGCAGGAGGAAAGGAATCCCCTCCGATGGCCGTGCCCCTGAAAACAGATGTGCCCACACGCTGGCTTCCGACAGCTGGCAGCCATAGCAACCCGGCCACAAAAAGTTTCGCGACGCAGAAGGCGACTTGGAAGAAAGTTTTCCTCGGCCCCTCGCTCCCTCTGCTCCAGCCCGGGTTCACGGGAAGCAGCAGGAAATCACGACGTGCCGGCTCCCGCGTCCACCTTCTCCACCCCTGGCCTGGGCAGTGCGCCCAAGGTGGGTGCCCCGCGCCCGGGCTTCCTGCCCCATCCCAGGGTCAGGCGTCCTGGGACGCGGCGCGCCTAACTCACCATGGTGACTCGCGCCGCAGTCGCGCCTCCGCCCGGGCCGGCTGCCGGGGAGCTGGGGCTGGAACGCAGTCTCCTGGGCGAACTTCAAAAGTTGGTTCCCCTCGCCAGAAACAGGCTCTCGACACCCAAGCACTCACAGGAGCCAATGGGAACCCAGGGGGGACTCCATCCAGGCGGGATCGGCGGCGCTAGGTGAGGGCGAGACGGGGGCGACTTAGCAGGCGGGGCGCATGCTGCGGAGGGCTGCGGTCCACTCGGACCCGGAGCTCGCCGCCCGCCCCGGTGAGTCCGATGCGCTCGGCGCGTCCGCCTGGCTCCCCTGCCTCGCTCCTCTTTCTTCGGCCACTTAATCCGAACTCCTCTGGCTGAGCCTCAGCTCGGGCCGGGCAATCTGTCCATAAATGGAGAATTCAGCTCTGGCCTAACCAATCAGGGTTGGTTTTCGCAGCGCCACTCCTCAGGGAAACCTTGGTAGCCAACAAGCTTGGAGCTGCCGGAGTTTCCAAAGACCTCTGGGTCCTGTAGTCCTGCTCTCCCGACAGCCTCCAAAGGACGCTGCGGACCCGGCTCGCTCCTGGGAGCAAGACCTGGACTATTAGCGAGAAAACCCTCCGTGAAAGAGAAGTAAACCCCTCACTTCGTTTTTTGTCTTTTAACGCGAAGCTTAGAGTAGGTTTAGCTTCCAAGCTGAAATGGCATGATTTTCCCAGAACTTTTTTTTTTCTTAAGGAGGAAATATTTTATCTGCATAAAAGATCAGAGTAGTGGCAGCAACCCAAAGGAAATCCTTTTTCTTTCCTACGTCTGGATTGTGAGGAAAGTCAAAAATATCATTTCCCCCACCCCTCCTTTTACCTGAATTTCCTTGGAAAACAAAGGAAGGCTTTTTTTTTTTCTTTTCTTTTTTTTCTTTTTCCCCCTTTGGACGTTTGATGGGGAAGTTGCACGTGCAGAGAGCAGAGGGAAAGGGGAGAGATGGTGGGAAGAAGCCCCTTCCTTCCAGCCCAGTCAGCACATATCTGTTGAAAACAATCAGAAGTACCATCAGAACAGTACATTATTCCAGAGTGTCGAGTTTCAGGAAATCAGGTGGGCAATGAGGAGAAGATTGGGATGGGGGGAAAGCAGAATCCTGAAATAAAGGTAAGGAGTCTGATTTTATTATTTTGGGGCCGAGGAAGTAAACTAGGTGGGTCACAACAGGGCTGCCCTCCTAGGGTCTGTGGAAGATAAGACTTGAAAACTTCTGGGCATGGAAAAGCTAGGAAGCATAATGATTTACTATGATTTACTTTATGAAATTCAGTTGTAGCCCTTCACTTGAATATAGGATTATAGAGTTGAAAGGATGTTAAAAGGATCCTGTTGAAAGATAAGGATGTTTACCCTTGTCTAGAAAGGGTAAAAAAAAAATGTGGTGTATCCATACAATGGAATATCATTCAGCCACAAAAAAGAATAAAGTACTGATACACACTACAACATGGACGAACCTTGAAAATATGTTAAGTGAAAGAAGCCAGGCACAAAAGACCACATATTATGGATTTCATTGATCTGAAAGTTAAGAATAGGGAAATCTGCAGAGACAGAAAGTAGATTAGTGGTTTGACAGGTGCTGGGGGGAGGAGGGACAAGAGTAATTACTAATAAGTGTGCATTTTCTTATTGAGGTGATAAAAATACTCTGGAATTGGATAGTGATGATGGTTGCACAACTGTGAATATACTAAAAAAACCACTGATTTGTACATTTTAAAAAGGTGAATCTTATGGTATGTGAATTATATCTCAATTTTTAAAAGGGAAAGAAAATTATATTGTCCAAATTCTTGTAGTAATCATTCACTCAGTTAGGCAATAAACTTAATTGAATGCTTACCATAAGACTGCGTGGATAAAACTGTGAGTATACATTGTCCCTGCCTTCGCTGAGCTTGCAGTTTTAGAAGGGGAGAGACAGACGATAAATTAAAAAGCAATAAATAATTACAGGAAAGAAATGAATACAATGAGGAGTGACAATAGTTTTGTACAAGGAACTGCCATATTTGAAGATATAGTTTACGAAATTTATCTGGCAGCAATACATAGCACGAACTTGAAAGAACGAAAGAAATGAATACAATGAGGAGTGACAATAGTTTTGTACAAGGAACTGCCATATTTGAAGCTATAGTTTAAGAAATTTATCTGGCAGCAATACATAGCATGAACTTGAAAGAAAACAGCATGGCACCTGTTGAGCATCACTATTTACTGTGTATTACCTAGGTATACACAGACATGATTCATTAAATTCTCAGGTAAGTCTGACTCCACATATCATAGGGACATGTCAACTTCAGAATACTGTCACGTATTTTAAGAACTAATGAACAGAAGTTACCAAAAGGGAGAATTTGGGCTTACTAGTAACACAAGAAACACTATTTAGGTTGGAAATGACACATTGCCTAAATCACCATCCATCTACCATCGATCCTGATTAGTAATCCAATTGACATAGGCCTCAAGATATACAGGCAAAGGCATAGTAGTTTATCCCAAGTTTAACTCAGAGATACAGTGAAACACTGAAAATCTCTTAATAATCTATTGACAGTCTATCGGTCTTGGATTTATCAAAAATTACCTTGAGACTGTTTGTCAGTTGTATTAGCATTTCAGCCTTTTTAAAAAAATCATTAAAAAAAAAATTTATGCTTATTTGCCCTAATAATCTCTTCCAAGTTTCAAGAGGTACTTCCAACTCTAGTAGGTCAGACTTTGATCAAGATGCATGCTTATGTTCATTTTTCTGATTTTATAATATAATCCCTTTCCAGATTGAAATATGTATAATATAAATTTTCATGGCTAAGCAGTATGTAGATTATGAGAGTTAGTGGCACATAAACCTGAATTTGAAGTCTGGTTTTTCCACTTAGCTAGTTGTGAGATTTAAATTTCTGTGAGCTTCTCTCATTCTATAGATTCCTTCATCTATAAAATAGATTGACATGAGTATAAATGAAATGTGTGTGAAGATGGTCCACGATGTGGATTCCTTTTTCACCTCACCCATGCCATGTTTTCTAGGTCAGAGATTCAGACTTGGGACCCTGGGTGAGATCCGATGGACCACGGGCCCTGAATTGCGAGCCAAGTGGTGGGGGCTGCTTGTGTGTACCTTTTATTTCAGGTAGAGTTAAGAGCTTTCATCAAATTTGCAAAGCTGATGAAACAACTTTGCAACAAACATAACAGCCAAAGTATCAGGAGCCATATCTCTTGATCACATTAGCTATGCTTCTTTGGGTCTTAGTCTCTACCATTGTGTTTTCCTTGAAGCATGTAGGTGAAAACTGAACCTGAGGCTTTAAGGACAGAGGCTGAGCTTGGATTCTCAAAACAGATCCTACTAAATCACAGTTTGAGTACAGAATGTAATATGTGATCATGTGATACAGCCTATAATCTTAGGAAGAATTCCTTCAAGCCTTACCCCACTCCGTCCCCACTTCAGGGAGGTACACTGTCAGTTTTCACTAGGATGACCAAACATCCTTGTGTCCTGGTATACTTGGGGGAGTCCTGGTTTATGCCTTTATCCCAGTGAACTTATTCATTGCACCCTCTTCATTCCCCAAAAGTCTTACTTTGAATGACAAATTATATAGTCACCCTAGACTTTTGGCCAAATTACATTTTTTAAAATCCTCACCCTTTGAAATGAATGTTTTTCCAATTTCCTGATTTGCATCTATTTTTCAGAGGACTCAGTAATATATTACGAGATATTTATTCTTATTCAAGGCCATAGCAGCAATGAAGTGGAAGCAGCTTTTAAAACTGTAGAACTCATTCTAGACACATGATGGAGCTAGTCAGATAAGACTTGTACATACTTTGGCATAATTAACTGCATTTTATCTGGGGTTGAATGAAAAGGAACAAAAGAAAAAAATTAAATAGATACAAAATATAATTTCCTGTGTAAATCTATTAGTGAAAAAAAAAATCACCGCTTTTACATTTTGGAAAACAATCAGCAAGAAAATAATATCAGGCAATAAAACTCGTTTCCATGTTGATACCATGAAAGAACGTTCAGAATGCATTCATAAAGTTAAAGAAAAATTGGTTAATGGAAAAATTAAGCCAGAAACCTTTAAGAAGACATTAATGAAGGAGAGACTTGTGTCACATTGTGAAATGTACAATCACTGTTTCTACCACAACAGACATCATGTATTAGGTTCACTAGGTATCAGCTACTGAGCTCAGTGCTAAATGTGCTGAATCTTATTAAATCTTCCATACAACTCGGTTAGCTCAGTTTGTAGTTAAAAAACTAAGTTGAGAGAGTTTAAAGTAACTTGCTCAAGCTATCGATCAGCATCCTTGCATCAAATCCAAATATCTGCCTGACACTGAAGCCCAAACTCTTACCTGTCAAGCAATGATTCTGTAGTAGAAATGTCCATCGGAATAAATTCTCCCTGAAGGAGGCCCAATATGAATAGGAACACGCTTATTAAAATCCTGTGAGCCTCTCCAAACCAGGGCTCTGGAAAATGATTGCTTTTTCATGGGATATAAGGATTACATTTGTATAGAGAATTTAACTCAACTTTAAACATTCTTTGTTTCCTAATATGTTGATATTAGTTGGCAAAGAGGATATTGAAGAGAATTTTGACAGGTGGGTAATGTAATATGATACTACTTCTGATTAATAAAAATTTTTTTACTGTAACAGTTATTTTACTGAAATAAATAGAAATTATTCAAACGTGTTTATATTAACAGTTTGTTAAAAGCATGTCTATATAGATTTATTATTATATTTTCTCTGATTTAAACCAGTATTTTCTTTTCTTTCTTCCAGTTTCAATTTGATTTTTATGTTCAGAAGATAAACCCTGTTGTTCCAATTTAATCTCTTTTAGTAACAAGGAGCAGAAAATCACATGGGTTGCTTCATAGGAAAAAAATTTTTTTTGAAGATATGTATGTCCAGGAGTCCAGGAAAAACAACACAAAGGAAGGAAGGACTGCGCAGGCTTTCTGTCTTTTCTGGCTTCATGGCTTCTTTGCGCATTCTTTTCTTTTGTGTTTTCAAGCTTCTCTCATTTAACTCCCCTCTGCTCCTCCTCCTCTAATTTCCACTTGCAAAGTGTCTTTAGCTTACCATGCTCCTGACTCAGGCCCCAGAATGACCTTTTAGTAATGTTGCCCACAGCTCACTGGAAACTTCCACATTGGCCTCTGATTCAAGTTCCAGAGACAGAGAATCTGACTCTCCCAGCTCAACCTTTCAAACCACACTGTCCAGGTCATAGGTGACAGGCAAGTGCATGCAAGGTTCTGCTCAGACCAGG